CTGTAATCCCAGTTGTGAAAAAAGGGTGATTTTCTTGTAAGTAATGTCTAAGGTATCTGCCCAGGTGGATGCTTTTAGTAGGAAATGGTTCAAGTAGGTAATCATCAATCCCTGCTTGTGGACGTGTGCCACCAGTACGTCAAGAATTTTAGAAAACACCTGTGGTGCTGTCAAAGTCCAAAAGGTAGAGCTTTGTATTGATATGTTCTGTCCCCACAGTAAATCTGAGGAACCTCCTGTGAGTGGGATATATGGTGAAAATAGGCATCTTAGAGGTTGAGGGCCAAGAATCAGTCCCTCTGTTCCTGTGCTGGTGGTATTGTTGCTAATGTGACCATCCTGCACTGTTGGACCCTTACAAATTTGTTGAGTTTTCTGAGGTCTAGAATAGGTCTTCATCCTCCATTTTCTGGGTTAAGTAGTAGTAGGAATAAAAGCCTTTCCCTCTGTGTTAGGATGGTACCAGTTCCTTAGCGCCCAGACACAGAAGGTGGGTTACTTCTTGCTGTAAAAGTTGTTCATAAGAGGGGTCCCTGAAGTGGGATGGAGAGGGAGGGTGGTGAGGTGGGATGGAGGTTAATGGTATCAAATAGCCTGGGTGGATTATTTCTTGAACCCATTTGACTGTGGTGATGGATTTCCAAGCTGAATAGAAAGGGATCAAACGGTGTCCAAAAAGGGGATGGTCAATGATGGTGTCAGCACTGAGGAATGAGGGAGGTCTCTTGGGTTCTTGACCGAACCCTCAAACTTCTTGTTTTGCTGATGGCTGTTGAGATGCCAATGATTGAGCTGGAGGAGGTGAACACCTTGAAAGTCTCCGTCTGCTTGTGTGTGTCATACTGCCTCTGTTGTTGGACGTATGGGGCAGACCTTGTACACTGAGTGGGATAGTATTTACCCTGTTTTTTCTTGATGCAGGAGTGTATATCCCAAGAGAGCGAAGGGTCACCGAGAGTCCTTCAGTGTGTTGAAGGGACTCATCAGTCTTTGCTGCAAATAGCTTCTGGCCATCAAAGGAGAGGTCCTCCCATAGTGGATTGCACCTCCCTAGGGAAGCCAGACAGGTGAAGCCACGAAGCACTGTATGTAACTATGGCTGTGGAGCGTGCTGCTGTGTCTGCTACATCTAAAGACACCTGTAAGGTGGTTCTAGCTTGGAGATAGCCCTCTGAGATGATGGCTTTAATTTCGTTCCTTATGTCCTCTGGTTTGTGGTCATTAAAGTCTGTCAATTTGAAATAATTAGTGTGGTGGTATTTCGCCCACAATGCGGCATAAGTGGCAATACAAAATTGCAGAATGGCTGATGAATAGGCCTTCCCAAAAATCTCTAACCATTTCCACTCTTTGTCATATGGGGCGTATCTGGGTTGGTGTTCTCTGCCTTATTGATTGACGGCATCTCTTCTTCACTGTCTTGGCAGTGGGAGGCAGAGACGAAGAGGTCTCCTATGAAATCTTGACAGGATCCAGGATAGCCTCATTAATAGGGAGAGCTACCCTAGAGGGTCCCGCAGAGGCTAAAATGCCTACAAGCCTACGTGTCCTTTCCTGTACCTCTTCTGACTGGATATCTAGAGCTACAGCCACCTCCTCAACAAGTCTTCATGAGCTCTAAAATCATTATGAAGGGGAGAAGTAGATTCAATCACTACTGCCTCATCAGGTGACAATGAAGAAGAGGCCAAAGATTGTTGAGAAGTTCCCTCCTCCAATGCCTCTACAAGGGAATCCTAAGCATGCAGCTCTGCCTGCACTGTACAGAGCCTGGTACCAGAGGAAGGAAGATGGTGACCTTCCTGCAGATACTCCAGGTGTCTGGCTGAGGTAGAAGTGCAAGAAAGGAGCAGAGAGTTTTGGGAAGTCCTAAAGAGTAGAGGATGGTCACTGGTATGGAGGTTGGACCCAGTATTGCATAGGCCCCTTGCTCTAAGGACGCTGAGACCGTGGATGGTACCACTGCTGGCAGGTACCCCACTGGGGCTAGTGGGCAGGGGTCAGCAACGTGTCCATACATGGACACAAGTGTCCGTGGTAAAAATTTTGAGGTCCGTGGTAATTTTTCAAAAAACTGAATGACTGAATGACAACTCCCCCCACCCATGTCCATCACTAAGTATGGAAATTTTGTCAAATGTCCGTTGCACAACATGGTGGTGCTGACCTCTACTGGTGGCATGCTCAGGTCAAGACACAACAGATCCGACTTCTGAGTCCAGTGCAAAGTCTGTTTCCTCCGACCACGGGGGGAGCTGAATGTGTCAGTACCAGGGACAGAGGTTCCAACCGTGGTGAAGAGGGCATCAGTGAAATCATTGCTGGCTTACCTCTGGGTGCAATCCTACAAAAAGGTGCTGCAAGAGTAGAAGTGGCTGGTACCAAGTAGTGCTCTGGGGCTGGGTCCAACCTCCATACCAGTGACCATCCTCTACTCTTTAGGGCTTCCCAAACCTCTCTGCTCCTTTCTTGCACTTCTACATCAGCCAGACACCCTGGAGCATCTGCAGGAAAGTCACCATCTTCCTTCCTCTGGTACCAGGCCCATAGGAGTACATGGTTCCAATACTGTTACTATACAAGGCTCTTGAATCACAGGAGAAGTTGGTACCAACAAGTTAAGCAACTCTCTGGCTGCCTTGAAAGCCACAGGTGTCAATGTCACCGGAAAGGGCTCCTTGAGCCTGCATTAGTGAAAGGTATGCCAATTCTTCAGGGTTTGGTCCTAATAGACCCTTCCTGGGTTCCAGAGTCAGCAGTCCCTCCTGGCTCACAGACTGCTCGAAGGGGTGTGACTTTTTTGAGTGCCCCTCTGAGGCCTTTTGAACACTCAGTGCCTTCTTTTTAGAAGGTCTTGGTACCAAGTTTTTAGCAGACTTATGCAGTCTGTTAGGCACCAGCGACAAAGTTCAGCCTGAGGACGCTGTCAGAACAGGAAGAGAACTCCTAACAGACTCAGAATTGCTTGGTACCCATTTGAAGCAGGAGGGTTCCGATGGCAGAAGAACCACAGACACCATGAGCAAGTACTTGAGTCTGGCAGCCCTGTCATTTTTCAAGCAGGGTTGAACCCTCTACAAATGTGACATCTGTCACTAACATGCACCTCTCCCAGACACTTAAGGAGCTGTGGTGTGGGTCACTCACTGTCATAGATCGGTAACATGAATGACAGGCCTTGAATCCAGGAGAACAGGGTATCAGTCCGGTAACGAGCCCAGTACCCAACCGAGACACCAGTAACCCTACACTAAAAAGGTACTATACTTAACGTAATCCTATAACTAACTCTTCAGATATACTATAAGAGACTAATGCTACAGGTACTATTTACACTAAGGAATGGAAGATATGAACAAAGAAAGATCGCAGCTCCAACCACCACCGTCATTGGTACTAGGAAACAACTGAGTGGAGTCAGGGGCAGAGTGGTCCCCTTTATGGCTGCATGAAATGTCATGAAGCAAAAGAGAATGCTCACGATGCCCTGACAAGTACTGCTAAGGAAAAAATCTCCAACAACTGTGCACGAGATGCACACGCCCACCTACAGTAGAAAGGACGTGTAATCACTCAAAGAAGAACTCTGTTTTGCTCTTCTTATCCTCTTCCTTATCCCTGGAATGGGAAGCTCTCGTTATTGGCAGTGCGGTTGTTGGTATGTCAGTCAAGGAGAAAATTTTGGGAATCGCAGTTTTGGTACCGTCTTCCCCTTGGAAGCTATCAGTGACTGTGATCTCACTGACAACAGGGCATTGACAGATATGAAGGGTCCCCATACGGGGGATAGGGAAGTATCTCTATACTCAGGTCTGAAGCCAGTTTTAAAGCTTGCTCCATCATTAATAGCCTATACTCAATATCCTTGTTTTTATGGGCTCATCCCTTTAAAAAAGAGTGGATTTTACACTTGCTGGGAACGTGAGAGTCTTCCAGGCAACAAGTTATTTATTGGAGGGAGGGATAGCTCAGTGGTTTGAGCATTGGCCTGCTAACCCCAGGGTTCTGAGTTCAATTTTTGAGGGGGCCATTTAGGGATCTGGGGCAAAAATTGAGAATTGGTCCTGCTTTGAGCAGGGGACTAGATGATCTCCTGAGGTCCCTTTCAACCCTGATATTCTATGAGGGCAGCAACTATGCTGTAAGAAGCTTTGGGCCAGGTATGAAATCATTCTAAGTCAAGTCACAGTGCTAGTCACTAAAAGGGACTGCTTCTCGACAAGAGAAGTACCTGTTAAATCCTGATGAGGCCATCATCCCTGACAAGAAAAAGTTTTTCAAGCCCTCATTAGTGGAAAAAGAAAACCGAGAGAGAGAGAGAGAGAGTGTGTATGGTTTTTGTTGTTGTTGTTAGAAAAGGAAAGGGGAACACATGTTCCAATTATAAGGTACTAAACCTACTACTACTCGGAACTCACTACAAAGCTAAAACACTAATACAAGGGGGAAAACAGATACACAGTAAACAGGCATGCAGTAGACTCCATCTCTGGCCAAAGGCAGTTGAGAAGGAATTGAGGGCGATTTGCTCACATAGCCCTATAAAGTTTCAATCCAGAACATGAGGATGTGTAGGGCACATGTGCAGGCACTGCTACCAAAAATCTGCGATCAAAGGTGCACATGTGCTCCTCAAACGGAACACCCGTGAGGACACTAATCAAAGTAGTCACCCTGCTTGGCCCCTCAGAATGTTGGAAGAATTTTCCTGCCAGCCTCTAACAAACCTCTACAGAACACGTGCAAACTGCAATTTTTAGAGGCTTATAACTCAGCCTTATTTGGGTTGACTTTCAGAGAGACCGTAAAAACCTCTTGGGTCCCAGGCCAACTTACTGAAAGTGGCTAAAAAGGTTACCTAGGTCACAACAATAGAATATGCAAAGTGAGTGGGCCTCTTTCCACAAGTTACAACCCTATTTTGCTAAGAGTGCAATCTTCTAATTTAAAAATAAAATCTACAAGTATTTGAAACAAGATTTATAAGGAATTTCCTTTACCTTGCCAAACCACCATAATCCAATCCTTCTTCACCTCTGAATATAACATATAATCGCCTCCTTAAGTCATAGGGTTTTAAAGCCATGATCTATGAAACAATTTTAAACACAAATTTAAAAAAATACAAAGGCTAATTTAATTTACTCTCAACCTATTAAACAAACTGATTGTTTCACATTCAGACTTATTATTATTAATTATATGCATTATGGAAACATCTAAGGACCCAGTTGGGGATCACGACATTTTACCTTAAACAGAGGTACAAATATTCATTTAATAGCTTTGTTAAATGATTTTAGTTTACAAATTTTGTATTGAACAGGGAAAGTATTGAACAAATTATTTCAATATATTAGGCAACTCCTCTTTAATGGATAAGTATAATTTTGGCCCAAACTAATTGATATTTTTCCCTTTAATAATATTTTTCCTGATGCCTCTGAAGTGGTATTTTTGGTGGGATGAGAGGAAGCAGTTTTAGACTGGGAATATTTTTTATAACAGAAGACAACATATTCATCTGTGAAGTATAGAATGCTATAGGTTAAGAATTGTAAATCCTAGTTAATGGTTTAATCTTTGAAGGGGAGAAGTTTAATGGTTTAATCTTTGAAGTAGTAGTTATGGTAGAACAATAGATTTTTAAAATCAAGGTTTTCCCTATTAACGATTGCATAGTCATATAAACTAGAGCAGCATATTGTAACACTGTCTTACTTCAATGTACGTATTTAATACAGCAGATATCATAGCCTTACTTGTTGGAAGGAATCCTCAAACAGTGTCTGTCTGGATACATTAATCTTTACATGGCTCGGCAATGCATTTGACTGTAAGCATAAAAACAACAACATATAAGTGGTAGCATACACTAAATGAACGCTGTAATGAGGTCTACAAATCCCATATAGTAAAGACGGGGTTAAGCAGCTGTGCTGATCCTAGGTGGCCCCAATCCCTGCTACATTCACAAAGCATGCATGGATTGGAGGAGTCACTCAAAAGGAGACAAGACCAACTCATTAGGCATGCAAGCAGCAGAAGTGAACTGACCTATACTCAGAGCTCCTGGGAAGGAGCACTGTAGGAGCTCCTTCTGCCCGGGGCCAGGCTGCAGTCACTTTCCCAAACCCACAGAGAAGAGACTCAAGACACTCAGAAGGTCTGACATATCTTTGATTTCAATTATTTAATGTCTTTATTTTCTCCTTTGGGAAAGAGGGGACTGGTAGGAAATGATCCAGGGAGGTAGCAAACAGCACTTTAGTGTGGAGGATGTAGCTGCCTATCACTGGGCCCTGGATCAGAACCTGGTGGAAACAGTGGTCTTCTGTTTCCCCCACCAGCTGCTAGAGAATACAGAAGGCAGAAAGCCTACTCCTGAGATAGGAAATCTAGCCGAGAGAGTGCCTTGAAGACAGAAGGATCAGACTCCGACATCTCTGTTCAGGAGAGGCCTAGACCCCCTCATCTAACCACCAGAGCCATCCGTTGCTGAACTCTTTATATATCCCAAAAGAGGTGGACATAAATGCATGACCTGGCCAGAGGGCCAAGTTATGTGAGAGTTGAAGCAACTGTTAACAAAGGGTGCCAGGAAAAATGAGCAGGCTATGCCCAAACCCAGCCACAAGGGGGCGTCTAAGTCAGTGAAACCCCAGCACAAACACAAATTCAAATTTTCAAAGATAGATTTAATTACTACTACAGTACCTGACACAAGTAACGGAAATGAGCAAGTTTCCATCTAAAGCTACGTTCATAAGCAATTTGTGGGCCTTTATTTCTGTAAAACAATATATTTGAAGTTTTAAATAAATACAACATATAACGAACAGTAAAATCAGCTCCCAGTATTTTAACCACTAGACCAACAGTTTGTGCATTTCAATAAAAAACCAATTCGAGCTCACAAGAAATGGCCACATAAAAAGACTAACATATACTCCAGTTTTATTTTCTGGTGTTGGTTCAAAATCTCCCAGCCAACTTTCAAATATAACCTAATTTTTGTAACCTGTTAACTCCTTGAATTAATGAAAGACCACCTACAATGTCATCAGAAGTCAGTCTTAACTCTTTATGTAAATTGCTGTTCAGAGCACTATCAACATGTCGGCGTCTATATTCACTGACCTATAAAAAAGTATTCATTGATCTGTAAATTGTTTTGAAACACTGGGTATCAAGAGTTACTTTGTTTAGCTACCAATATATTTGATATAGCAATATTTTAAGCTAAAAGAATACTTTATTACCAGTGTTTGAATATTCTTTATTTTCTTCAAACTTTGTATTAATAATTATGATCTAGCGAATATTCAAATTTTACTGCTCTTCCTCAATCTATTTCTACTGCATTTATAGACATGGTATATGAGCACTTGACAATAATTATATCAAATGAACAAAGTAGGGCTGTCAAACAATTAAAAAAATTAATCGCAATTAATTGTGAGATTAAAAAATAGACACGATTAATTGCAGTGTTAATTTAATCACTGTTAAACAATAGATACCATTTATTTAAATCTTTTTTGGATGTTTGTCTACATTCTCAAATATATTGATTTCAGTTACAACACAGAATACAAGGTGTACAGTGCTCAGTTTATATTATTTTTTATTACAAATATCTGCACTGTAAAAAAGATAAACAAAAGATATAGTATTTTTCATTTCACCTCATACAAGTACTGTATTGCAATCACTTTATCGTGAAAGTGTAATTTACAAATGTAGACTTCAGACAGCATGGTCCATATCTCGTCCCTCTCAGATTTTGAAAGGCACTTCAGATTCTTAAACCTTGGGTTGAGTGCTGTACCTATCTTTAGAAATCTCCTATTGGTACCTTCTTTGCATTTTGTCAAATATGCAGTGGAAAGTGTCCTTAAATCGAACAACATATGCTGGGTCATCATCCAAGACTGCTATAACATGACATATATGGCAGAATGCAGGTAAAACACAGCAGGAGACATACAATTCTCCCCCAAGGAGTTCAGTCACAAATTTAATTAATGCATTATTTTTGTAAGGAGCATCATCAGCATGAAAGCATGTCCTCTGGAATGGTGGTCGAAGCATGAAGGGGCTTACGAATGGTTAGCATACCTGGCACATAAATACCTTGCAACATCGGCTACATCAGTGCCATGCGAATACCTGTTCTCACTTTCAAGCGACAGTGTAAATAAGAAGCGAGCAGCATTATCTCCCATAAATGTAAAGAAACTTGTTTGTCTGAGCAATTGGCTGAAAAAAATAGGACTGAGTGGACTTGTAGGTTCTAAAGTTTCACATTGTTTTATTTTTGAGTGCAGTTACGTAAAAAAAAAAAATTCTACATTTGTAAGTTGCACCCACATGATAAAGAGATTGTACTACAGTACTTGTACGAGGAGAATTGAAAAATACAATTTCTTTGTTTATATTTTTACAGTGTAAATATTTGTAATAAAAATAATATAAAGTGAGCACTGTACACTTCGTTTTCTGTGTTGTAACTGAAATAAATATCTTTGAAAAAGTAGACAAACATCCAAAATATTTATGAATTTAAATTGGTATTTTATTAAACAGTGCAATTAAAACAATTAATTGTGACAAATTTTTTTAATCTAGTTCATTTGTTTTGTGTTAATTGCTTGAGTTAACTGTGATTAATTGAGAGCCCTAGAACAAAGTTATATCAGTGAACGTTTCAATGAGAAAGGTAAGGTTGGTAGTTACATCTCCAAAATAGAAAATACTTACAAGGCAGCAACTTGTACTGCACTTAATGTTGAGATCCCAGATAAAATATTAACCGTTCATTAATATGTGGAATACTATTCACTATTAAACAGTGAATAATCAACATCTTTTAAAAAAACAAACTATTAGCTGCACACTTACACAGAGGATTTTCCAGTACGAGGATCATTGAAGGTTGTTGTCCTTGTGTTATGATCAACAAAATATCTGACACCTTCTCTAGTGTATCTGATTTCCCAGCCCTCAGGAAGTGGGTCCTCATTTTGTAAACTGTAAAACAATTGAAAACAGTACACTTTTTTCACATGAAGAAACGTACAACAATGTTTAAGCATGATCATTTGATCTGCACACATCAATATAGACATTATATACACCAACCCTTGAGTTCGGGGGTCTTCCCACTGTGTTGTCTTGGTGTTGTGATTCACAAAGTACACCCTATCATTTGAATCCACTCTCCTTTCTGAAAAGAACAAAAATTATTAAAGAACAAATTTCAATTACAGTCACATTACTAAATTAATAGCTTATCATCTTACCCCAGCCTGGTGGTAAAGGCCCAAGTGGATCATTTTCTGCTGACAACATAGAAGCCTAGTTATAAAGAACAAACCAGACACACATTTATATTAAACAACAAATATAGATAAATAATTCTATCTAATGAAGATACTTTTTAAAATACACAAGTTATGTGTTCTGTCAATTCTTATAAACAAGATCATGTCTTTTTCTATAAAGATAGTCTCCATCAAAGAATCTACATATGAATTGCTTAGACTGTCCTCTCCAGCATCCCTTGAACAATAGTTTTGCTAACAACAGTACGGGAAAACGTAAGGTATAGTAACATCTGAAAGATCTGCATCAAAAATACATTATCCTGATGCCCAAGGAAAAATAAAAATTCAATACTAAGTATACAGTATTAGTTTTTTTATGTTACCCCTAGTAAGTAATACCATCTAACTAAATGAAGAATGAAGTATGTTATCAATCATTACAAAGTCCTTTTGATATTTTTCTCTTCATTGCCATTTGGATTTCAAAGCCATTTATCTTACTTGAAAGGACCTTTAAGCACATGAATAAACTCTTTAGACATACTAGTGTTTTAAAGTTAGTCAATCCTAAAATTTCTATACAACTGGCTTCAACCTTACATTTAAAACCATTAAATCAGGCACCATTTATGGCAAATGCATTTTTGATTGAGTTACTGATTCTTTATTTCGAGAATATGGTTCTTTGACGACACTATTTCAACACAAAATTTACATAGCTTAATAATTATATAATTTAGTGTTATGTTAAAGTAATATTGTAGTTTAGGCAAAACTAAAAAAAGTAAGGAGAATTTAAAGTTTGTGTCCTTAGATCTTTGTACTAAATTTATAGTTAGTCATTATAAAACATCTATAGTTTTCAACATCGTTTACACCCTCTTAGATTTAAGACATTCTGTCAGTTATCTTGCTTTAATTTATATCAAAGTAAAATGAAAGTTCCATGTATCCTAACATCTTCAAAGTATTGTAATTTGCACACTGGTCAGAGGGGAAATGAAAGAGCAATTAAAATCATCTTTAATATAGTCAACTGCTTCCTTTAAGGCTTTGTACTAGGGATACTAGGTGCTTCAAAATATTATTATTAATAGTGTCAATGGAGGTCCTAATCAGCATGCAAATACCAGTCATACTTAAAAGGGCTTTAAGGTTACCGTGTACTATACTACCATCTTGTCTTATAGAACCATTACAAAAATATAGAAGAAATACTGAAACAGTTGTTTGTACAGTAGTGTCAAACCTCATAACAAGGCTCATAATAGAAATGTTCTCACAATCCTTTCTTAACAGAATATGTCTAATCTTTACAGAAGTATCTTGGTGAGCTTACTGCTAAAAAGAAACAAAATTAAGTTGTGGGAAAATGCATCCTTTGAAGAATATAGTAATTTTTACCTTTAAATTTTGTTTCTAGGTCTTAAATATATCAATCTGAATTGATGGAGTTACCCACTTTATAGTCTGTAAACGGGAAAGCAGGATTTGTGCCACCTTGGGTCATCATTACATATCCTTCCAACTGCTTGCCCATGTCACTCAGCTATAAATAAAAATGAGAGTGACACACCTTATGGTCACCTGTTTCTGAACTAAATACGAGGCCCCATCCCGTGCTATACACAGCCTTTTAAAATAGTTATTAAGCACAGTTCTCTTTCTTGTGGCTTGATCCATGTGCAAGCCAGTGGGAAGCACAAATGAGCTGAAGCATCCAAAAAACATGTGGTTGAGTTTGGATGTGGTTGGGTGTGTGGAGCACATTTTGACACGGGATCCTCAAGATAGGATTTTTTTTATTTCCACTGTACAAACGATGTAGTTTGCCTAGGTTTGGGGCCATTGGCAGAACCATTTTGTGAACACGTTCCTTCCCTGAAGAACTGGACAAACACCCATGTTTCATTAAAATGGTTACACTTACTCTATGCTAGCTACTATGCAGAGCTATACCAAGGTTGTAACAAAATTTGTAACAACACTGGCTGTTGTTACTAGGCATATTAGTAATTGCACTGGCTACTGTTACTAACTGTTTTAGATCTGGACTAGGTTGCAAACTTTAATAAATGGGTTTGAAAAATTAGATTAAACTCTCATATAGACAGGACCTAAAAGTGAAGAGAGGGCAATAGTCTCCAGACTGGTGGATCTGAGACTCTGAATCTTAATTCACAAGTGAAAAAAATTACTATTTCAGATCTTAAAATCCACCAATCCAGTCTGTATTCCAATCTGTTTGTATACACAATGAGATCTGTATACACAATGAGATTTTGAGGGATGGGAACAACAATGTAGGAGTATCTACCACTTTATCTATCCAAAGGATCATATTAATGATAAAACTTCCCTACTAGTGCAAAGTATTGATACTAAGATCTCAAATCCACTTATTTTACAGATGGGGAAACCAAGACACAGAAATGTTAAAAATATTTTCCCACATTCACACAGTGAGCCAGAGGCAGAACAAGGACCAAAACATGTGAACCCTGACTCCTACTTTCTAACTGCTTACATATCTGGCTTCCAGACAACAAAATACTGCCTTTTCTGAGATGGACATACACAAAATGATAGTTGTGTTGCTAAAGCGTTAGCTTTCCTAGAATGACTTGAGGAGTTTTAAGTATCTTCCACCCCGACCATTAAAAATACAGCTCCTTCCTTATGATGACAGCCTTTCCCTTTTTCTGTTTAGGTGAGAGAACAAATGTAAATTTATGCCCTGATAAGAACTGCTTGACTATTTAACAATTCTTTGAAGTAACAAGAGACTTTGCTTAATTACTTTATGATTTAGAGAACACGAGTGGTCACTTTATTTTTATTCCCAAAATAAGTTTTTTCAGAAAGCATTAATCTAACAGAAACTGAATAAATTTAACTCTGGAGACAACTAATAACTAGAATTAGAATTGTTGATCCAATATATCCTAAATGTAAAAGTGCTGAAAAGGATGAACAATACCCTAAGAACTGGATGTATGACTGGCATCAGTAAACTGATAAGAGCCCTCAATTTCTTGGCTAAGATCACCTTAAGTTTCTGAATTTTGAGAAACACTGCTAATGTGCTTATTATCTGGTGAAAACTGTATTTGCCACCACGGTGTCACAAAAGATCTTATAAATGTAACTTCTGTGACCAAGAAAGGACAATCTTTAGTACAAAATCAAGTTGAGAATTTTTTAAAAACTGCAACACCGTGGCCACCAGGTCTTGAACAGAGGTAACTGTAACTATACATAGTAACAGGCTTCAGAGTAGCAGCCGTCTTAGTCTGTATTCGCAAAAAGAAAAGGAGGACTTGTGGCACCTTAGAGACTAACAAATTTATTTGAGCATAAGCTTTTGTGAGCTACAGCTCACTTCATCGGATGCTGTAGCTCACGAAAGCTTATGCTCAAATAAATTTGTTAGTCTCTAAGGTGCCACAAGTCCTCCTTTTCTTTTTATATAATCACAATCATCCCGTCAGACAACAATGCCAGTAGGATGGTGAGAGTAAAGGAGAACAGTTGGCAACGGACATAAAACATGCCAAAAATTAGACATCAAAAGGTGATTGAGAGGTCCACAGAGTCTTCTGAATCAACAGATAGTAGAACCTAGGATTTATGGTTGATATACTTTATCAACAGAAAGAGGTGATTCTACAGATGAAAATGTTGAGCCAATTAAGGTATAAAACAAATTTGATCCGATTTAGCAACAAGCCTAAATCCTTTCAAATATTTAGATAAGACTTTCTGAATTGTTCTTACAGATACCAAGGGTTGAACTGTCTAAATCATGAAATATTCTTTGCAGGGACACCGTGACTCTTTACCTAGTCAAGTGCTGCTATTTTCATCCAGGGTTGTTGTTTTTTTACGAGTCATGTTAGAAACATGTTAGGTAACATGTTTTAGCAAACACATTGTTAAACATCACTTGGCACGCAGTACAGAGTAAGTATAGTGTTTAAAAATCCATTAGTTGGTCATTGTCAACCTAACACATTTTTAAATACAACACTCTACTCTACATTGGGTGCAAAGTAGTGTAACTTGCATTTCTAACATGGCTCATTTTCCCAGTGTAGACAAACAGCAAGATGCACAGATACAGATTGAGATAGTTTTTCTATTTTCTGACTGCATCTTTGAGTGCACAATGTTGAAGTGAGCAAACTACATCTAATGAAGAACTGGATTGTCCAAGAACATTCAATGGCAGTTGAACTGTAAAACAGAAGTTAAATGGATTAAGAGGTATTCTGAAGATCAGTAAGACAAATATGCAAAAACAAACAAGAAATTCTTTAAGTATGTCAGAAGCAGGAAGCTGCAAAAGAATCAGTGGTTCTTCAGACTACAAAGGTATGAAGGGAACAATTAAGGAGAATAAAGAACACTGAAGAGAAGTGAAGCCCCTGATCCCGCAAAAGTGTGTTTAACTTTATAACATGAATGAAGTTAATGCAATTACTCACATGCATAAAAAATTAAGCACATGACCTTGCAGGATGAGGGCCTAAATGATTACTTTCCCTAGATCTCCTCTTTTTTGGTAATAAAGAGGAGACACGATCAGAGATTAAGATGTTTGTAAAAAGACGTGCTGGAACAAACTGATGATACAAAACCACTACAGATCTCCAGACTGGATGGCATGTATGCAGCCAAGATTTTTGAAGGAACATAAGAATGAAGTGTCTGAGCTGATAACAAAAACATGCAACCTCTCCTTAAAATCAGCTACAAACCTGGAGGAGCAAATATTGTAAATAGCTTTAAAAAGGCACTAAAGATGATCCTGGAAGTTACAAATTAGGGAGCTTTATTTCAGTTCAAGGCAAAATAGGTGAAATGATAAACAGAGCCTTAAAACATCTATGACACAGACAAACCAACATAGCTTGTGTAAAAGAAAACTGTGCATCTCCTGCCCGGGCTTCTAACATATATAATTATGTATATATCATAATGTATATCATAGTTCTCCATTATCTACTATTTTGTTGAGTCTCAAACAAT